TCAGATTACCCAAAGTTTTATTCATTTGAAGCAAATTTTGTTGTTATTATGTTTTTATATGATTTTAATTTTTTTATCGCAAATGAATTGACTCATGTTTATGTCATATTGACAGTTTCAATTAAATTAGACTTGGAACTAAGCAATTGTTTCATAAATATCATCGTTTTTAATTTATTACGACATGTATATAATTAATTGTTACACTTTATTAATGCTGTAATTTTTTAATGAAGGAAGATAAAAAAAATATTACAATTTTCTTTCTCAGAATTACATTTTCTATCAATAGATTGTTTCTGAAAACGTTTGTCATTTTCTGAAATTTATTTGAACTACAGTTGGAAAAAGTGTACAATTAAAGAACATTTCTATCATAATAACAAAAATTTAGACATTCTGACACTGAAAAACACCAGATTTTACCTAATAATTTTAAAGTTTTACATATTTGAAAAAAAGCAATGTTTTTTTAACTTGTAATTTGCATTTTTAAGCTAATTACTTAACCATTATTTAACATTTTTTAGTTGAAAAAATTAGGTAAGTTTTTTTTAACAAATTTGACTTTTTTGGACTAAAGAAGCCGAGAGAAGTTTCCAGTAATTAAAATTTTAATTTGTGGGTTAGAAAAATATTAAACACTAATTATTAGAGAAAGGTGATTTTAATACTAGACATGGAGATAAATTTTTCATATCCTGTTAAGCCTGTAGTGAATTTGAAGACCCAAAGAAGTTAAATCAGCACGTAGAGAATATCTTAAGAGGTCCCGAGGGCGCCCCTGTTTCAACCGACCTTACATCAAGAGAATTGTGGTCTCTTATCTACCTCCCAGTACCTGATTATTATAAAAACAGTGTCGACACCATTATTTTGACTGAAAAAGTATTCTTTTTTCAGTTTGCGTTTCATGTATTTATTTTCAGTGTCCGCAACTCGTATTCAAAGAGATTTAAGAGCACATGAAACGCAGGAAACGCCACCAGACAAGGTGTTTTCTTTCAATACAGTGATTTACTTCTAACCGAACGTACAATAATACCAAAAAGGCCAAAACGGCTCAAGTAAAGTGGCGATTCGATCGCCCTTTAGGTGCGATCAAAGTAAATTTGTCGAGGACCAGTCTCGAGGTCTAATCCGAGTCGTGGGATTCATTTACTGTTTTAAATAACGAAGAGTTTTTGTAATTAAAATTAAAGCTCGTTCGCAATAATTATGAATTGGTACAGTTGATATCTAACCCCGGACACGTTTTCCTAAATAAAAACTAGACGGCAGCAAATTAAAAACACTCCACTCACGCCAGGAAAAATAATCACAGAGAACTCGTTAAAATAAAGTTTATTTTCACAGGGGCGAGTTTTACACTCGTAGTTATGCCTTCTGGCATTGTAAAGTTTAATGCAATGCTTCATTATAATCCACACTTCTGGATACAAAAACTCACAAGAACCCAACAACGTAATTGAACATCATTCATGGTTGAAATTAAAAAAAAATATTTTCAACTATACAACTTGTCCGAAAAATAAGTTACAATACAATGAAACACCCACGTTTCTTGGCATTTCCAAATATAGCTTTTTGAAATAAATAACATACTTATAACACAAAAATTAAGACAACTGGAATTTTTTTACAACGACAATGCATAGAAAGTTACTTTCCGAATTTAAAATTTAATTAATAAAATATCTCGTTTCTATTTATTCAATATACGCAACTACACTACATTTAGTTTTCAAACAAATAATTTTATTATTTATTATTGCTGCTTTGGTGAGTTTGTGATAACTATTGCTTTATAAAAATATTTCCAGTTTAACAAAACATTTATAAATGAAATTCTAACGACACAATATCAAAAAGTCCACATTATGCTGTCCCGAAAATTAACATTCTCATTTAAAAGAGTTTTTTTCTTGTTTACTGGGTGTAATTTTGAAGCTAGTTCATCGACTTTTCGAAAACGGTTTTCCATATTAACACCATATTTTTCAATGAGAGACTAATATTATCTCGAAATATTTAGACAAAAATATACCGAAAAGTCACCAAATTAAGTAAAAAATAATGAATTTTGCTTGTTTACATCACGTTTTTATTGTAAGATTCTGTTAAAACATATTGAAAAATTATCAAATTGGGTTGACAATGACCTTTTTTATGATTTTTTGGGCGTTTTAGCTCGTTTTCAATTAAAAATTTACAAAATTATTTCGTCACAAATCGCTAAATTTACTCAAAAATGGTGTTATTTTTACTTTTTTAGATTGTGCTAAAAATTTTGTTCAAAAATAATACCATTTTTCCGTTTTAGGACTTTTTTTTAGTCAGAACAGCAATTGTTTAGAAAATTTTCGTCGAAAATGAGGTAAAAAATTAATAAATTATCACGAAACTAAAATTATTTTTGCTTCTTTGGAGAGTTTAAGCATGTTTTAAGTCGAAAGAAAAATCATCTGGTTGCTCTTCCAAACGTTTTAGCAGATTTTTTAATCAAAAGCACAAACCTTCGTCAAAATAAGCCGAAAAATCACATAATTAATT